AAAGTGCCGGAGCTGCGACCTGGAATGATCTGTCTCCTAATGTAACCCTACTTCTATAAGTTGGCGTTGCAAGTAACAAACCATTCGAGGAGGATCTTAAATTATAATTTCCTGATCTTTTAATTGACACATGTTCTCTTAAATACGTTGGCGCGAATCCATGGATGGCCTTAAAAACAAATAGTAGAATCTTAAAACTAATGCGTTGCCTAACCGGTAGCTATTGCAGCTCGCACAGCAACGGCGTGAGTATAACACTGGCATCGGCAAGACAATTTAACTAATCACATACAATTTCTTTACAACGTAGAAAATGTAATCATTAAATAGGATAAAAAAACGACGCTCAACGTGTAAGTGCAAAAACGAAAAAGAAAAAGTGAGATGAAATAACGCAAGAATACGAGAGAAAAAGTCAGAGCGAAAGAAGCGAAAAACTATACACAAGCATTAAGAGAAAAGGTGTGCTGATACCAAGAAAAATGACTTTAGTTTAGAAGTGAAAACAGCAATACTAGAGGCATTCTAAATTTGGCTAGTTGTTCCGAAAAAAAGAATTGAAAAAAGAGTCTATCAGGGAACGCAATTTTAAGCAAATTCGGCTCGTTATAAAATGATAGGTAACCAAATCAACCCTCCATTTGAAAACAACAACGTTTTGGAAAGGGATAAGGGCTAATAGGAGACACTTCTGGTCTTGTCTATTTAGCTGCAGCACTGGTGACCTGCCGTTTTGCCCTTTTGATGATCTGGCCTGTAAAAAGGACTGCGCCTGTCGCGGGTGAGGGAGAAGGGGTGTACCCCCAATGATGGCCTAGACTGGAAGTTTCTCCTTCAAAGGGGAACCTTTTTCGGGCCTCAGGTATACAACAAGGATAGGCATTTCACTAGTTGGACTATATAAAAGGGTTGGAAAATCTGTCATTTCTGTCATTTTCATCTGTAGAAAGTCCTAAAGGGCTAATAGAAGAATTTATGGCTGTGAAAAAGCCGAGAAAATTTCCTAGTTTCGTAATTTTTTTCGTATTTTGAACACATACATTTACGGCAATTTAAAGGGATAAACTATGTATGTGAAACGGGTACCATTTGTCAATAGAAGGCACAGCGTAGGAAAGGGTTTCCTTTTCTGCCCAAAGTTATATGTAAAAGGGTAAGGGGGTTGGAACGTTGGACGCAGCCTTCCCGTGTAAACCTTTGTTGAGTACCCCCTCCGCCTGGGAGAGGTTTCTTTTACACAGAGATATTCTTTAGTCTTAACTACTTTTAGCCGTAGACAACCTGTTGATTTATTGAGCGTAAACTTATTTGTCAAGTCATAATTGTATTTAGTCTGCAAGCTGTGATCAACCTGTAAAAAGCCGTTATCCACCTGCGTAGCTTTTGAAGGTAATTAATGTTTCAAAACAAGCTTAGGTTTCCACCAATAGTCTTGTAGAAATGATTGTTGTGCTCTGTAATTAGACTCGTTGAGTTGTGATGTAATCTGTATCGCTTCGCTAGGTTAGGCTTAAATACGAGTGCTTTGTAGGAACTTCTTCGGTTACATCCTGGTTACATCCTCGTTACATCTAGTCTTGGTTGTATTTTGGTTGGTTATGTTTTGACTCTACCCGTGATATGGTCTTGGATTAAACCTCTACATTGGAGCCAAGTTCTGTTGTAATCATTGTCTCAAGGGTGTTCAGCAGGCGTAAGAGATTCCGTGCCTTCTCGCAGCTAGCGAGTGTCCCCAGGAAAAGGCCTTTCCCAGACAAAACCTGTTTCCACACTGGTGTTTATGTGAAAAAACGTGTTTTCACAGTATAAGCATAATTAAGTAATTTCCTTCTACAAGCTCAGTTTAATACTTTTTTGTCGTTTTAGGTACTAAATGACAACTGTTGAGCGCAACGTTCGTATATATTGTGTTTATTTCGGGATTAATAGCATCAACCTTTATAGTAAATGAAATTTGAAAATTATCAAAACATATATCACGAGTACTTAAACTAGTGCACGAGTGCTCCACAAGTAAGAATTTGTTTACATCTTTATGTTCCAGCTTAACTGCAACCATCAAAACCAAGAGGGCTTTTGATGACTTCCAAAATGATCAAAATTTATTACAATCTTCGAAGATGAAGATTTATTTATTATTTTGAAGATTTATTTATTTTATTATCATTTTGCCATTTAAATTAAATATGTAAGCAAAATTCACAAAGGTAAGGTGTGCCTATACCAAGAAAAATGACTTTAGTTTAGAAATGATGAAAACAGCAATACTAGAGGAATTCTGAATTTCAGATCATGGCTAGTTGTTCCGAAAAAAAGAATTGAAAAAAGGGTCTATCAGGAAATACAATTTTAGGCAAATTCAGCTCGTTATAAAATGATAGGTAACTAAATCAACCCTCCATTTAAAAACAACAACGTTTTAGAAAGGGATTAGGGCTAGTAGAAGACACGTCTGGTCTTCTCTGTTTAACTGCAGCACGGTGACCTGTCGTTTTGCCCTTTTGATGTGGCGTTTAATTTAAAAATTACTTTAAAATTATGTACAAAGATTTCAAAAGTGCCTAAAAGGGAAATTACATATCATCATAATTTGCTTAAGATCAAGAAAAATAAGACAGCTATCGAAGTTAGGTAAAATTATAGCGGAGCTCTTGCGCGCGAAGCGCGCAGCGGAGCACCAAGGGTAAAAAAATGTGGTAAACTACCCATCCGAGAAAATTTGGTAATCACGTGACCGTACACCGACCGCCCGCCCGACCGTCCGTCCTCACCACAGACATACCAATGTAAAATAATTCAATTAACAGGTATGGCAACCCAAATGCAACTCAAGGTTTTATTTGGAAAGAAATCGCATGGCCGCCCGGACTTTTAGAAAGAAAAAACAACAACAAAGTCGTGTCTTTTTCAACGTTATTTTTTATGTTTGCACTCACGTGGATAACAGAGAAACTGAGCTAGAGCTAGTTTCTGAGAACAAAAGAGAAGAATTTTGTAGGAAGAAAAACATGAAAATTCAAAGCGGCTGTGAGACAATGAGAAATGCTAGTGGCCAGCAAGGTGAAACTGAGGGGCACTGAAAAATAAAAGCGAACATCAACATAGGAGACAAAATATTGGGTAAGAATTCCTCCATAAAAATAATGTGCAACTAGGAAGTTTGACGTTTGGTCCTACAAAACAGCGTTGTAGTTGTGCAAAACAACGGCAAAGAAGGACGAAAAGCGTGCTGCACGTGCAAATTTTGTTGTTCTGCTAATTAGAAAAAAAGCGTGCTGCACGTGCAATTTGTTTTTTTGCTAATTAGATCTATTGATGCCGTTTCCATTGGCCTCCACGTTTAGCATTAGACGATTTAATTTTTTTGTTTACAAGCTTTATTAACAAGAGCTTCGCTTTTAGCCCTGGCTAAATCTATATATTATTAATAAGAAACAAGTAATGGCTTAAATGAAATCTAAGAAAGTTCTTAAAACGGGAAACATGCGACGTAGCTTCTTTTATTGATGATGTGGGTAAATTAATCTAAAAGTGTTTTTTCCTAGCATTAACTTTAAACAAATTAAATCATTCACGAGAACCGTCAGCTGAACAGTGATCTAATTTTAGTCTTTGAAAAGGTACAGTTTAAGCTGCAGTATCTTCCCATTCGACATCAGTGAGTCAAAAATGCGTCTGTCATCACCAGCTATAGCAAACAGAGTACGTACCTTGTACCTCGAACTTCAGTGTTAAATTCTTTAGGCCGAATAACCCTCTAGCTTCATGAACCGTGTCCGTAGAGATCACTGGGCGCTTCTCGGCTTCTTTTTCATGGCAAATGTATTATTTTAAAACTTGTATGTACTATTCCCTTGAATTAAAAAAAAAAAATACTCAGAACCACTTTTGCAAGCAATACAAGCTGTATCTTATAAACTTTTGTACCCCAAGGGGTAATAAATATTTCATATCTGCCAGTGCTTACCTTTAATAATTATTAATGCTATTATCTATGACTTTCTATTGCTTTATATGAAAATGTAAGTGGGACTTTACACTCTTTTTTCTTTCTCAATTTTTGTAATTTTATGTAAATGTATACGCCAGTTGATTGCACGTGACCCGTGACTAACTCAAAAGTCGATAATGCTACTTTGGTCACTACACACAATTTAGAATTTTTACATTTCATTATCTGCGTGATTTGTTGTTGTTCTTTCTTTTTCTTTTCTGTTCTTGTAATATTTTGTAATGTATGTGTTCCCATTATGGCTCTTGCATCTTGTAAAAGTGCAAAAAGTGAACGATCTGAAATCCAACCGACCGAAAAAGCATATGGAGAAATCGATCGCTTAAGCCTCCTATGCCGCCGTTAAGTCTCATATGCCGCCGTTGCACCTTCGACATGGCCGCCGGTACTGCCTGGGATACTGTTCCGATATGACTATAGAAGTGGCCGACAACATTGGTCATCCCAGTCTTTACCACCGGCTTGCCTGCGAAGTTGACTCGAGTTCAACTTCGCTGGCATGCCGGCGGTAAAGCTTTGCGATGGCTCTAGTTGTCTGCAGCGCGTGTTCTCATTCGTCCGAGAGGTAGCCCAGGCGGTACCGGCGGCTATTTCGCAGATACATCGGCGGCCGATGAGAACCAGGCTTTAGTATCAGTGGTATCCCAGGCTCAAGCAACCGCTCGTTATTATGATTGATAATAAAACATGATAAATTAATGATAAATAGATTTTTGAATCATTTAAATTTTGTAAATTTGAAATTGATTGATACATGGAGATAAGGATATACTGAAAAAAGGACGGTAGTTTTAACACGCCAGAGCAGCAGTAAAAAAACAAAAACAAATTTTAACTCGTTTATTCAAATGGGGTTAATGTTTTCAACTTTTATTTTTATTTTGTCGTTTTATATTTTACGATTTATTTATTTACTTATTTTTATGATACTTTTTAGTTTTTGGACTGTTTTTTTTTTAATAACTATATTTTTTTCTTTTTTACGTAGATTTCATTCGTCATTGCAGCATGCCTATGTTTGTTATGTGCGTTTAGTGAGGGAACGTGTTCCGAAAGCTGTAAAAAAGGCCATTTTCGCGTCTACAATGAAAGCAAGGACTGTCACGTCTGCGAACCTTGTCCGGTAAAGAATATGCTAGGTATTCTTTAATAGGCAATTTCCGAGTTGCCTCAAGTCTCTGTTTCAAAGCGATGCTAAATGCGAAGCCATTGATACAAAATGTTTTTTTTATCTGCCAATTTCATGTTCCCGTGACGCAATTTGTCTTCCCCACATTATTTTGCATAAGTTTTGTTTTCAGTTCACCAAGGGATGATTAGTCGCAAGAGAAATTTACAACAATATTTGTGGGAAAAACAAATTGCACGATGGGGAATGTCAGTGAAGGTCGCAACTGTCCTCGTGCAAATAAAACTCATTTTCACAACAAAGGTTGCACTTAGCCTCGTTTTGGAACTCGGAAATCTTCTAACAAATTTACTTTTTTACTTAATTATTACTACGAAATGTTTTCCATGCCACGAAAAAAGAAACTTTGAGCTCTCGAAAAAAAGAAGCAAACCCTAAACTCGCTCTAAGACCCCATAAAGCCAGCAGTCGGGAGAGGAGACGCTCATTGTTTGGTCACGCCGTTCTGTATGCTTTGGCTTCTCTCACCGAAATAAAGGTGTGGTTCAATTTTGTCCTTGGACTAAATTTTATTTACCCTAGTTGCAAACCCTAAATAAACTGCAGCTCCTTTAGATTTCATCCTTGATGTTTACCCGCGGATTTCATAACCAATTTCCTAACCCTACTGTGTTAAAACCTAGCTAAAGATGTCCTCGCATGTCTTTGGTTTTTACTGTATTTGTTTCATTTCTGCTTAAACAGCCTTCTACATATATGGACAAAGAGAATAACAGTACTAAATGCCTGCCCTGCTTAGAATGTAGTTCTCCAAAAGTTGCAATTGTTGAGTGTAACTCGACTCAGAACAGAGAATGTGGTTGCCCGCCCGGTAAATTCTTCTATGCGGAACTCCTCTTCTGTAGTAGATGCTCAAAATGTCCCGTGGGAGAGGGAGTGGTGACAGCGTGTACACCAACAAATGACACGAAATGTCAGCCGTGCCCAAAGGTATGTATTATATTAAACACTTAAAGACTGGTCCCTCGGGAACTTGAGTTGATTTTGCCTCCCGAGAATCTCAGTGTTTCCCAAGGCGGAGCCGTCGGAAACATTTGAAGCTGGAAATTCATGAAACCATCGTTAGCACGAGAAAAGGTAGAAAAATATTGAAGTCAACTTGTTTTATGGGTATTTGACTTTGTCACCATCTTTATATGTTTTCATGATTAACTCTAAGGTTTGCCAATCATGTAAAGGCCATTGTTGAGAGTACCCCGGGCTTTAATATAGCGCGAAAAATGTTAAATTTACTTTTTTTATTTAGGGCACATTTTCTGACGAAAAAAGTTTCGAGCAAAGATGTAAGAAATGTTCCAAATGCAGGGCATCTCGAAACGAAGTTTTAAAAGAAAACTGCAATGCGTTCAGAGACACCATCTGCCGCGAGAGAATGACAAGTCAACCTACTGTGACGACCACACCAGGTGAGTAGGTAACCTGTGTCTTACCTTGTCGGTTCCTTTAACTCTTGAACGTACACGCAAAGTCATACCCTCACCGTGGTACGACGGGATGGGGGGGGGGGGGGTTGATGCATGATGGAACCCTTCCCCAGAGTTTTTGATATGCTGCATTATTTTGTCAGTGGAAAGCCTTTGATCTTCTAAACAAGATGGGGTATATTTTATGAGTAATGGCGCTGCTCAAGAATAGCATCCCATAGGGATAAAATTAAACTTAGCCTGTGTACAGTAGTCCCCTGATTCTAAATTTCCGACCAACATCCCTTTTTCTTGAAATCTACCGTATATGGGAGTAGTGCCACAGGAACCTCTCAAATAGCTAAGCTGTTATATATGAGTTTGTATTATATCCAAACCGTTATCTCGTTCTGATGATGAATTCCTCTTTCAGACAGTTCAAAGACCACTCCGCCCAGTAAAGAAGAAGAACCTCAAGAACCTCAAGAACCTCAAGAACCTCAAGAACCTCAAGAAGCTCAAGGAGTCGTAAAAAGAACAAACAGAGAAACGTCCCCGCGAAGTGTTTATTTAATTCTTGGCATCACCTTTGTTGGCCTTATTCCAGCTGCCATTATTAGTGTTGCGTTGTTCTTCGCAATGAAACGAAGGCGTGAAAGTGGAAAAAACGCAAATTACCCTCCAGGTAAAGAACAGTAAAAGTCTCGAAATTTCGTTTTATCGATCAGCTAAGGTTAATAATTAACGTGGCCATCGTAACAGATTAAGGCGGAATCCATCACGAAATATTGTAATTTTAATTTTCAGTGGACGAAAACCTTGTACCAGAATAATTTAAAGTATCCCATTCTTTTATAAATTTTTCAAGGGCTATAGATATAATTAACACAGAAAAAGAAAATTTGTTATGAGAGCGCGAGGAAATAAATGTCAAATTTCACATAATGACATCTTACAAATGAATTTTTCAGAATTTTACAAGGTAATTTTCTGACCTTTCTTTTCACAACTCTTGTGAATTTTGACATTTATTTTCTCGGGCTCACATGAGAAATAGTCTTTGACGTTATTACAGATAACTAATTTTAGTAAAATCTAACTAGCGGTCTATTATCAATGCTGCGTTCTGATTGGTTGAGCTACTACTGGGCTGTATGTTATATAGCCCACTAATGGCCGGAAAAGCGCTGGCTTTGAAAACCAAAACAATGGCGGCAAAATCGCGTTTTGCTAGCTAAAGTTGTTTTGTCTCGATATTTTTGACCAACTAGTTAGATTTTACTAAAACAATTATTCCTCTCGCCCTCATGGCCTCTAAATCAATAGCCCATTCGGGCTCGAGGAATAATTGTTAAATATCCATAGCCCTTGAAAAATGTAAAAAAGAATAAAAAGTGGTCAAGACGACCCGTGGGCCAGCTGCAACGCAGGCCCTGCTGCCATTACAGTCAGTGAAAAACCAAATGTTTGTGTTTCTCTTCCCCACGGAAAATCTACCCCAAGGGTATTACAGTTAAACCCCCATTGAGCGGCCACCCTCGGTTACCGGCAATTGGCCCCTTTATGGAGATATTGGATGGTCAATAGATGTTCAACATAAATTAACATGATCTTTATCGCTTTATTTTGAAACGAACTTGCGACGGGAACTGCATTACTGGTCCCTAATTTCTTTAAAAAAAGCTCCTTAAAAGCACATAAAATGATGAGCGAAAATATCCAAACCTTTGAAAATATTGTGGTCTGGCCCCATTTATCAAGCCCTGGTGCAACAATGTCTCCTACAAACGTTGCATGATTGGCTTGTAATCACATTCGTACCAGCTGGGGAACGAGAAGAGGGTCATGTGTGTGGGAGGGAGGGGGGGAAGAGGGGCGCGGCTGTGTTTTATTGTAAGATCAAAACCGAGGCCTTCAGGACAGATAAAAATTTTCCGGAGCACTACCCTCTTATCACAAGCTACTGATCAGTGCTCCCTCTCCCCTCCCCTGCCTCACGGTCTGGAGCATAGACTCGTGCCTGCAAAACCATGGGTTTACCGTCTTGGAATGGTATTTATTCTCAGCACTGGCAATACGTTTTACAAGGATTTTTCATTGTCGTAATTTGCAGAAGAAAAAGGAATCAGGAAGTACCATCTTTCAATTCCAATGACACCTGTGTCAGGGACACCGATACTAGCTCGTTACTCGCAGTGCGAAAATAGCAAGAGTAAGTAGAGTAATACCTTATTGGAACTTTATTTCGTGTTTTTCGAAATTGTTAAAAAATCGCGAAATTTAATTCCCATATGGAAAATTCAAATCACAGGGGGAAAAAAAGATAAACATGTACCAACAACGATATATACAGGAAATATATCGACAAATACACCTTAACTGGTAAGTTTCATTTTGTATCTTCTGTTGTGAAATAACGTACGTTAATTCGCGAATTCAGTAGGCAAGTATGAAAAAGGGCATTAAATTTCGCGATTCAAGTGTTCTCAAATTTATTTTATTTTTCAAACGTCTGAAGTTTTTAAAATGTCGACATAAACTGGAACAAGCAAAATGCTAAAGACCCCCGAAATTAAATAACAATAAGGTATCATTTCGTTGCAGACAAGATGCTTGTTCGGGACCTACCTGGAAATGTGATCATCGAATTAGGAAGACTCTTAAATCCCAGGTCGTATAACAACTGGGCAAAACTTGCAGGACGCCTGGGATTCACAAACAACCATGTCAAAAACTTCGAACTGGAGCCCGAGGAAGCGACGCAATCTCTTTTGAGCGAGTGGAGTCAACAAGATGGGTCGACTGTCGATGTTCTCGTCAGAATTTTAAAGGAAATGAAACGAGACGACTGTGTCCAAGTCCTGCAAGAAAATAATAACAAAACCTG